CCCTACAGGGCGGACGGAGCGGAACAAACAAACAAAAAAAGCGGCCGTGCCGCCCTAGGATTGGGCGGAATGCCGCCTCCAACAAGCTGCCGCCCCAAGCACCAGCTTGCTCGGCTGGTGCCTGGAGCCGGCCCTGGTAGACACCTTGTCTACATGATAAATGGAAGTGATGTAGCTGAACTGGCTGTGATTCACATCCCTAGTTATGTCAGTTTGAGTCTGTGTACACACTCTGATTTCAGTTTAAGTGCCCTAGTTTAGTCTGGTGGCACCTTAAAGACTAACAGATGTATTTGGGCATCAGCTTTCGTGGGCAAAAAACCCCACTTCTTCCTTCTTCAATCTGAAGAAGTGGTTTTTACCCACGAAAGCTGATGCCCAAATACATCTGTTAGTCTTTAAGGTGCCACCGGACCCCTCGTCGTTTTTGTGGATACAGACTAACACGGCGATCCCTCTGCTAGTTTAGTTTGACTCATTACTGATTTGTGCTGTGGGCTGCTCTTAAACTGAATTCAGAGCATCCACACAGGGATTTGTGCTCTTCCAATTAAACTGTTTTAAACACACACCTCAGGTTAATCCGGCGCAGCTTTCTCGTCTAGACAGCGCAGTACAGAGCTGTGGCTTCTCCTGCAGGAGACTGGTGGTGGCCGCTCTAGTGCTGTGCAGTGTGATCCTAGAGGAGTGAGATCCATACAGGGCTCTCTCCTCCTCTTACCCCCCCCCGGCAGGTGTGTCCCCCATTCTGCCCCATGGGGATGGGGCGCGGAGTCCCCAGGGCACCAGCTCCTCGTCTGCAGGGAGCAGGGACAGACCTGAAACCATCTGTCCCCAAGTGCCAACATCGTAAAGGCTGCTTATGTCTATCCCCACCGGCACCAGCTGGTCCCTGCACTGGCCTCTCTGGTGTCCTGCCAGAGAGCGAACCGGCACTGAGCGACCCCCCGCCCCCCGCGCCCACCAGAGGAGGCCCCTGAGGTCCGTTGCTGCACCTGCTCTTGGGGGAGACCCAGCTCTCAGTCCACGAAGGCTGCTGGCTCATTACCTTGCACCAGGCTAGACGCTGTGGACAATCTCCCCGAAGGTCAGAGCCCCTTGGGAGCAGCGCGGGGCCCAGCTGCCCTGGGACTGCCCCCGCTGGGCTCCTCTGGGAGTGACGCTGTCGGGTAAAGGCAGGGGGGCTCACAGCCCAATGGGCAGGTTTGGGATTCGCTCTCTGGAGCAGGACCTGCGGGGCAGGAGCTCTGTTCCCCATCTGCTGCGAGCCCCTCTCTGCCTGGCTGCTGGTCTGGGATCAGTCCTGACTCTCCCTCTGCTTCCTTTGTGCAGCGTAACGGGGCCTGGGGAGATCCCAGGGTGAAGAAACCAGCACAGATCGAAGCTCTGCAGCCGCCCATCAGACCCTTCCCGTCTCCTCTGTGGGCCCGGAGTGTCTCTGAGCCCCTCCCTGCTGCTGGCTTTGCAAATTGATGAAATGATTGACACACAGTGTCACTGGACGGACTGATAGTGAATCAAAAAGCGGAGGCATTTTCCTGCCTTTGTGCCCTGCCCCCTCCTGCTGCTCGGCGCTGCTGTTGCCCTGTAGACAATGCAATAGAAACCTGAGCCGTAGCGGCTTGTGTGTGATGTACATGGTGGTGGCTGTAATGTTTCTTTAGAACATTAATGTTTATAATTAATCGCTGTCCTGTTCGGAGCCTGTGGGGCTGTGACCCTCAGCCTCCTGGGGCAGGAATCGCTTCCTGGCTTGGTTTGTGACTGTCTCTAATACCCCTCCCCATTCCCTGTCACGGAGGCCTCCTGTGGTACCTGCCCCAGGCTGAGCCAGCACCAGACCTGGGAGTGAGGCACAGGAGCCGTTTCCGAACACGGCCAGGCCGCCCCTGGCTGGGATAGCTGGGTTCACCCAGCTCCTGTCTCCCACAGCAGGGCTGGCTCTAGTGTGGTGCCATCCTCTGGGCCGTGTGATGGAGCGGGTCAGATTAGCTCATTCTGGGCCCCTCTGGCCTTAACATCCAGAGATCCACCGTCCAGGCAGGACGTGCACCAAGCCCATCGTTAACGGGATGTGGGGCTATCGTTTGGGAGGAAGAGACGTCTGTCAGCTACCCTAGATCTACCCTTACTCTCCATCTTAATGGGATTGCTTCTCTCAGAAAGCAGGGTGAAGGAAGGGGCTGGGTACATACTGTGCTCTCTCTGTGGGGCTCTCAGTGCAGCCCCCTTCAGGCCCTAATGCTCCTGCAGTCTGCACCCAGCCGTGGGAGAGGACAGAGCAACAATCAGTCCCCTGCCCAGTAGCTGTGGGGCTGGGATGTGGAGTTGATGGGTGTGCTGGGGCAAACCCCTGCCAGGGATGGTTTGGGTTTATTGGGTCCTGCCTCAGGGCAGGGAGCTGGGTTTGATGAACTCTAGAGGCCCCTTCCAGCCCCACATTTCTGTGATCTGAACGTGCCTGACCCTGTGTGCGGGGGAAGGGGAGAGCATTGATGAGGTCTCACTTCCCAAAATCAGATTGGGGGGGTCTGGGTAGAGATTAGCAACTGGCCATTAACCTCCATTAACTCCGTGTGTCTGTGGTTTTGTACTGATTGAATACAATAAAGACCTTCTCTTCCATCGCTTGACTGTGTTGATTCCTTCGGGGCTGTCTCTATTCGAGGCCTGCAGTGAATTCTGTTCCGTTTGCCTGCTTCTCCTTGGTGGTGGTAAAAACAAAGGAAAAGTTTGAGCTGCCACTAGCCAGCCAATGCCAACAGGGGCCCACCCAAACCAGCCTGTCAGCGCCCTTTGCTGGCTGGCTAGTGCCGTGAGTGAACACCCTACCTGCCCTAATACTGCTTGTGCTATTGCCACACAACCAAGGAGAGAACTTTTAAAGAGGTCACATGGAGGCAAAGCCTGTCCAGGCAGTGCCGAAGGCCAAGCCACGGGTGGTAGAGAGCCTTGGGTGTCGAGAGTTTGTACTGTACTCAGATACTACAGCAATGGGCAAGGCAGGGGCACCTGGGAGAGGTCTGATGATTGTGGGGAGGGGAGGAAGCTGGGAGCCAGGACTCCTGGGTTCTCTCCCTGGCTCTTGGTGGTGGTGGGTGGAGGGGGCCAGGAGGTGAGGGTGCTGGGTGTCACACACATTGTTACATCTGTAGAGTAAGGTTCCAGGAATGTCACTCTCAGGCCCAGACTGGCTGTTGGGTCCATGTGAAGCTAGGGAAGCAGCAACAAGTGCAGCTGAGCTCCGTGTTCAGCATCTCACCAGGGTTGAGCATCCCGGGCTGTTCCCGTCTCAGCCGCTTTGGCTCTATGAATTACCCCTGGGAGGGGCCCAGCACCAGGGAGGCAGGGATCCAGGCCAAGCTGAGAGCACTTCCTGTTCAGAATATCAAGAGGCAATACATGGGGGGGGGGGAGATTCAGGGTCACGTGCCCCCTCCCCCCAGCCAGGATTTGCTAGCCAGGCCCCTTCCTGCAGGGCCAGATTAACCTTTTGAGGGCCCAGCGCCAAACGTATTTGTGGGCCGCCCCAGGGAAGGCTTGTAAAAGACAGGAGCTCAACACATAAGGCGTCTAACACAGCTGCACAGGTTTATTTAGAATATTTACAAGTTTAAGTTGCAGACGGAGGTGGCTGTGACTAGGGTACCAGCAATGGCAGCCCGAGGGCGAAAAGATACAAGTGTAGACACATGAAATAAATTATAAATGAAAAAATACAAAATAAAACCCAGTGGGTAAAAACAGCTAACAAACGCCAAAGCCCTGGCCAGGTGCTGCTCCCACTAAAAGGGAACCTTCCCCGCCGTCGCCCTTCACATTTCTCACAGGACCTACCAGGGCTTGCATTAAATGTGTGTGTGAAATTGGGGTGGACTTAAAACATTTTAAAAATAAAAAACTGGACCAGAACCCCCCTTCCAGCCTGAACCAGATCAGACCCCTCTACGAAGCGATCCCTCTCGACCCAAACCTCCCCACTGCCTATCAGAACAGGGCTCCTCGCAAAATTCTATTCCTGAACCGCACCCACCTGAATCCCCAGCCAGACACCGCTCTCAGGTACTCCACTCCAGAGCCACCCACTGCTGTGGATCCGCCCCTGTTCTCCTCCAAACCAAACCAAGCCAGGCCTCACCTGGCTGCAGCTTGGCCGGGGGCAGCTCCCTGCTGGCCCGGAGCACAGGTGGGCCAGCAAGTTGATCTTGGAGAGCAGCATCCCCGTCCCGTCCCCCGTCCCCAGGTCTGGACCGGCGCTGCCTGAACTAGCCCAGGTGCCAGCAGCTCAGCTTGCAGCCCCCGGGGTCGGAACCAAGGGGGTGGGGGTGGAGTCGGAGTCCGACTGGTCTGGGGGGGGCGGAGGCCGGGGAAGGGGGACATGAATTGGAGCAGACCCGATGAGGCTGCTCCGCTTAGTGCCAGGGCCCCGTGTGGCACCGGCTCCCCTAGCTCCAGCCGCCAGTAGTAAGGGGAGGGATTATGGACCCCCTCTGAGTGTGGGCCCAGCGTGACGGCACCATTATAAACCCGGTGCTGCCTCCCTGTGCAGCAGCTCCTGGCGCTGGCGAGCTGCAAGCTGCGGCCACAGGGCGAGGCAGCACAAACAGCTGGGAGCTGCAGGGAGAGCCGCTGAGGGTAAGGGGGGGGGTGCGTGGGAGGGGCGGGACTCAAGCTAGTGGGGGGGGGGGGGGAGATCAAACCTTTAAATTGTGCCCCCCCCCTCCACACACACACACACACACACTATCAGCAGGTACCAGCCGTCTCTGCACCAGGTTCGATCATCACTGGGATTCATGGTCTGTTACAGTCGTTTTTAAGTTCATAGCCATTTTTGGCTTCTGTTATACACAACTTTATGAATTACACGCATGTGACAGCCCAGGCTTTCAGCTGCAGGTATTGAAAATCAAGTATCAAAGACTTTTTCATGCACTTTATAAAAATTGTTTTAATATTTTATTTTTTTACAAAAGTTTGATTTTCAAACTGGACATTTTTAAATCTCGGACTGGAATAAAACACTAGAATAAAACAATCCATCTGTCATCTAACATGGTGGCATCTCCCCACAAGGCCAAGTCAGGGTGGTAGCACAGGAGCTATGTGGTACTGTTCACAGACAAGCATCTCGCTGCTCCCTTCTTTCAGATCCTGCGCTGCTCTAGGCCCTGTCTAAAATGTGTACCCTGATTAAAACAACAAAGCTCGGGAGAAAAGTTGAGATGTTCAAAACAGAGCAAAGGATTTAGCCCCACATCGGCCATCCAGTTTAACAGAAGAGGCGCAACTAAATCCCTTGCACTACTTTGAAAATCTCAGTCCTAAACAATATTCCAAACATGGTCTATAAAATGGAGAAGAGAAACTCCGGCCTCTTTGTCGTAGATGATTCGGTTTCTCCAAAATAAATGATAATTGGGGCTGGCTGAAATTCTATATTCCAAACGTTTTTGGACAAAAAAATGACTTGAATCTTCTTCTTTTTCCTTTATGCTGCTTCTCCTGGTGAGGGTCACGACGGCAGCATGGAGAGTAAGGAGGACCAGACCTCCCTTTCCTCCGCAACAGGTGCCAGGTTCCCCCTGGGGGATTCCCCAGCATTCCCAGGCCAGTCAGGAGATAAAATCCCAGCGTGTGCTGGATCAGCCTCTGGGCCTCCTCTTCTTAATCAAAATGGACATTTCTGTGGCAATTGGCTTTTGATAAAAATTTTTGGAAAACTGAAAACACAGGAACAAGGGGGGAAATTGACTTTTGATGGCAACCTGAAAAATTTGTAAGAAAAAGTTGAAATGAATTTTTTTCCCCTGTAGGAACAAAACATTTCCAGATCAGCCCTAGCGCTAATGTCCGAAACAGCCCCCATCAAAACAAACCCCGGCTTGTACAGTTGTTATAGCTATTCCCCGGGGCGGGGGGTTACTTGGCCAGGTCTCTCTGCACCAGTCTGTAGTAGGGCCCCTTGCGCCCCATCAGCTCGGCGTGCGTCCCCTCCTCGGCCACGGCCCCGCCCTCCAGCACCACGATCCTGTCGGCGTTCTCCACCGTCTGCATGCGGTGGGCGATCACCAGCACTGTCCGGCGCCCCCGGCTCAGCACCGACTGGCGGATCTAGGGGGAGGAGCAGAGCCGCGTTACGGTCCATCCGCACACGACACAGACCGGAGACACTCAGGCCGGCCGGGCTCGGAGTTCGGATCCCACCGCCCCCACCACTCACCGCGCATTCGCTCTCCACATCCAGCGCGCTGGTGGCTTCATCCAGGATCAGCACGGCTGGCTGGCGGATCAGTGCCCGGGCGATGGCGATCCGCTGCTTCTGCCCCGCCGAGAGCTGCCCGCCCTTCTCCCCCACGTCTGCAGTGGGTCAGAGAGAAAGAGAGGGGTCAGGACTCCTGGATTTTTTCCCCAGCTCTGGGAGGGGAGTGGGGTCTAGTTGGTTACGGGGGGGGGGGGAGGACATTTCCCAGAAGCCCTTGCAGAGCGGGCAGTGGTGACTCACCTGTCTCAAAGCCGCTGTCCAGCTCCGTGATGAACCCGGAGGCATGGGCTGCTCTGGCCGCCCTGGTGACCTGCTCCTCCCCGCAGCCCCCCAGCCCGTAGGCGATGTTCTCCCGGATGGAGCCGGAGAAGAGGACGGGCTCCTGCCCCACCAGGGCCACCTGCCAGCGAGAGGGAGCGACGTTAGGGGCTGAGACCTGCTCAACTCGTCACACCGAGTGAGCAGCAGCCCAGACCCTGCCCCCCGCTGCCCTCACCTGGCGGTGCAGGTACCGGTGCTCGTACTCCCGGAGGGGTGCCCCGTCCAGCAGGATCTCCCCAGCCTGGGGCTCGTAGAACCGCTCCAGCAGCCCCACGCACGTGCTCTTCCCGCTGCCGTTCAGCCCCACCAGCGCCGTCACCTCCCTGGGGCGCAGCTCGAAGGACACGTCCTGGGACAGTGGGGAGAGTATCAAAGTGCCTGTCGCACGGGGGGGGATCAGAGGGGCTGGGAGCCAGGGGGATCCGGCCTGGGGCTGGGAGCTGGGTTATCCTCTCCCCAGGGGGAAGGGCCTGGGGCTGTGAGCTGGGGGATCCCCTCCCCTGGGGCTGTGAGCCAGGGGTGGGGTGTAGCCGGGGGTAGGGTGTAGCCGGGGGTAGGGTGTAGCCGCCTCGCTGTAGGTACCTTTAGGACCTGGCGGTCCGGGCGGGAGGGGTAGGAGAAGGAGACGTTGTGGAAGGAGACGTGTCCCTGCAGCGACTCCGGCGCCCGCGTCCCGTCGGTGCGCACGGCCGGCTCCCGGTCCAGGTACTCGAACACCTTCTCCGCCGCCCCCACGTTGCTCAGCAGGTCCCCGTACATATACACCAGGGTCTGGGGCCGGGCAGAGAGCGAGTCAGAGGACCAGCCTACACTTAAAAGTTAGGTCAAGCCAGCCAGCTAACAGTCAGGGTGTGAAACACCCCGGCCACTGTAGCTATGGTGACAAAACCCCCGGTGCAGACCCAGCTAGGCCGAGGGACAGTGGGTTCTGTCGACGTAGCTACCAGCATTCAGGGAGGTGGAGTTCCTACAGCGATGGAGAAACCCCTTCCACCGGCTCAGGCTGCGTCTACACCACAGGGCTACGCTGGCATCGCTACGGTGCCGTAGTTACACTGGCAGAGTCTGTTGTGTTGACATACCCAGAGACAGGGAGACAGGTGGATGAGGCAGGGCTGGATGGATGGATGCATAGAGGAGTATGTATGGGGCCAGAGTGTCAGGTGTGTGGAGAGATGGAGGGATGGAAGGGTGGGGTGTGGACTGGTAGATGGATGGATGAATGGATGTTGGGGGCATGTGGGGACAGATGGATGGGTGGTTGGGAGTGAGGATAGATGGATGCACAGAGGATGACGGACCAGTCGCTGTGACCCTATTACGGCCCCGTCCCTGGCGCAGGGCCCCTCACCTGCACGTAGCTGCCCACGTCCCCCTGGTAGAGGATGAAGGAGACCAGGCTGCCCTTGGTCAGGAGCCCGGCGCGGATCTGCTGGTGCCCGCAGTACAGCATCAGCACCTGCACGGCCAGCTGCAGCAGCTGGGGGGGGGGGGGGGGGAGACAAGAGTCATGTGGGGAGCAGTAAGGGGGGTGCCCCAAGCCTGAAATCAGCATCTCTCAGCCCCGCCGCCGGCTGGCTGCATGAACAGCAGCTCCCCCGGATGCCTGGGTCCCCCTCCCTCCACCCGTCTGCTTGCAAAATGCCCTGTTCCCCAGCTCATGTCAGACCATGAACCTGCCTTCCCCGGGTGCCTGGGTCCCTTGTTCTTCTCCAGATAATCCACTGCATCAGGAACTGCCATGCCCGGATGCCTGGGTCCCACTGAGTCACAAAGTGCATTCCCTGGACACCCCTGTCCCTGAATAATCAGCTACCATCCCCTGGGGCCTGGGTCCCCTCTCACTGGCTCCCCTGTCAAATCATGCCCATTTTCCCCGGATGCCTGGGTCCCCTCCCCAGCTCCCCCATCAGATCCAGAACTACCTCCCCCAGATACCTGGGTCTCTTCCCCCACCCCCAACTGCCTGCCCTGGACGCCTGGGTCCCCCTCCCCGGCTCACCCGGCGGAAGAGCAGGTAGAGCGCCCTCTCCAGGTCGCGGCGGTTCTTCAGCCGGTGGGTCTCGGCCAGCGCCGCCTCGTAGCGCCGCGACTCCTCCTCCTCGGTGGCGAAGCTGCGCACGGTCTCGATGGAGGAGACGGACTCACGCACGACCTCGCCGGAGAGCGCCAGGGAGTCCTGGATCGCCTTCAGCATGGCCTGGGGGGCGCGGGGTCAGAGACGTCACATCCCGCCCAGCGCGTCTGGGCTCCTGCATATCCCCGGCCAGCGAATTGCATCCGGGCCCCCGGCATCCAGCCCCGTAACCCGCCTGATGTGGAGCTCTTAGGAGACACTCAAATCTCGATCCTCCAAGAGCTGGGGAATCCACCCATCCCTGGGCCAGCTGGTCCAGTGGCTAATCCCCTCCCTGGTAAACATCTGCCCCTCGTTTCCAGTCTGAATTCGTCTCACAGCCGCCCCCAGACGCTGGCTCATTCTGCTTTGTCGGGGAGAACAGAGCCTCTGCTCCCAGAAATCTGCTCCCCGGGTGGGTCCTCACAGACTGGGATCGTTACCCCTGAACCTTCCCCTGGATAAACCGCATAGCTGGAGCAGTAGCGTAGCTGGGGGGGTGCAGGGGAAGCAGCTGCTTCCCCTCAGCACATTTTCCAAAAGCGGCGCCTTAGTTAGGGGTTACCATGGCGCCAGCGGGCGGGGCCCACGCTCCGCTCTGAAGCTTGGCCTGCCGGGATTAGACACAATCAAGGGGATTTGGGCTCCGAAGTGCCTAAACCCCTTTTGAAAATGAGACAAGCTCCTAAATCAATCAGGCCTTGCAGGGCTGAGTGCAGTGACACCTAAATACCTTTAAACATCTCAGCCAGTGCTCCAGGAGTCTCCACATTACAAGGCAGCTTTATACAGCCCAGGGTCATGTCCGCCCTCTAACCACAGCATCACACAGAGCTGCTCATCCCACGTGACCTCTCTCTCCTGCCCAGTCACTGCTTCCTAGGACGGAGCCCCCAGCCCAAGCAAGGGTGACCCGCATCGCTGGCTCCGAGGTGTCTGACCGGGCACTTGGCTGTGTGATCTGTATTACAATAGGGCCCTGCAGCTGTCCTGGCCCAGGTGCCCACTGCGCTAGGCACTGTACAAACACAGCACAGAAAGATGGGCCTTGCCCCAGGGAGCTCACAGTTCGGTTTGAATGGGCCCAGCTCACCAAGGACCCCGCTCGCGGTGTGTGACTGATCGTCCCCATCAGGACCCACCGCCCCCATCACGGTGTCACCTGCAGACTAACCAGCCTGGGGTCTAACTTGCCCCCCAGATCCGATAACGACCCTGCACAGCACTGGGGGGAGAACAGCCCTGCGGGACCCTCCAGAAACACCCCACTGGAGGGCGACCCTCTCTGGGATCAGAGAGGGGAACTTCATAAAGGGACTGGTCCCCTGCCCTGGGGCTCTGGGACACCAGATCCTGGGAGGGGGATGTCTCCCCAGGATCAGGAGGGTAAGGGGTGGTCTCCCCAGACCTGTACCTGGTGGCGGGCATCATAGACCTTCTCAGCAGCCATGGTGAGGGGCATCTCGATGAGCGTGAGCAGCGTCAGGCGCCAGGACAGCCCCAGCATGAAGCCGTACAGCCCCAGCGCCTTCACCAGGCTGCGCAGGAAGATGTTGGCGTTGGCCGGCACCGAGCGGCTCATCATGGTGGTGTCCTTGGAGAGGCGCGAGGTCAGGTCCCCTGGGGGGCAGGGGGAGGGGGAGACATGGTGAGACATGGATCTGCCCAGAGAGGGGTTCCCAACTCTGTGGGGGTGGGGGCTGCAGGGAGCCAGATGTGGGGGAATGACGGGAAGAGCAGATGGGGGGTAAGAGGGAGCAGATACCTGTGTGGGGAGATGAGGGGACATGGGGGGTTGGGGGTGCACTGGGAGGGGAGCGAGTGCCAGTTGGGGGGAGCTTGGAGTAGGGGACACCAGAGGGTGCTGTGGGGGAGGGGATGCCAGTGGAGGGGGAAGCTGGGGGGGAGGGGATGCCGGGGGTGCTGTGGGGGAGGGTTTGGGACCCACCTGTTTTGACCTGCTGGAAGAAGGCCAGGTCCTGGTGCACCAGGGAGGAGAAGAGGAGCTGGCGGATGCGGATGTTGAGCCGGGAGAGCGTGAACATGAAGAGCCCCCCACGGCAGCCAGCAGCCAGGGAGCTGGGGGACAGACAGACAGACAGATGTTCATTCTGCTAAAGGGTTATCCTGTAACCCATCGCACGTCCCCCCACTCCCCCTCTGTTGGGAGCTGTGTGGGGGTGATGGGGGGAAATCACCCCCCCCCCCAGGGCTCAGGTCCCTTGAAGAGCGCAGTGCAAGGCCTGGGGGGTCTCCCCAGGGGTGGGCATCCCATAGAGACACTGGGGGGTCTCTCTAGGGCTGGGAAGTCCCATAGGGGCCCTGGGGGACTTTCCCCAGGGCTGGGAGTCCTGTGAGGGGCACTGGAGGGCTCCCCCTGGGACTGAAGGCCCCGTGAGGGGGGCTCACCCCGGGGCTAGGGGGTCTCACCTGCCGAAGGAGGCCAGGCACATGAGGCCGATGGCGGTGGAGAAGGCGTCAGGGTCGTAGGCGCTGCCCAGGATGTCGATGACGCGCCCCGTGTAGTAAGGGATGAAGGTCTCACCTGCCACAGAGACATGGGCAGCATTGGAGGGACCAGAGGCCCAGAGAAAACAAGGTCTCCCCCCTGCCCTGGGCCCCCCCCTTCCCCATCACCCTGTATCACACCACTGGGCCCGTCCAGCTCCTGACCCACATATCCCATCGGGGGTCTGGGCATCCTGCCCACTGGAATTCCCACCCCGGGGGTCCGTGCCCCCTCCCTGCCCCACTCACCGATCACAGCCAGGGTGAGAAAGACGAAGGCCCCGGACAGGACGGGCACGTCGGGCCGGGACAGACCCACCAGCCGGCGCAGGGTGGCCCTGGACTCCCGCTCTGTGTCCTCAGCGCCGGGCCCCCCAGCCCTGTCCCCCTGCCCCAGGGCCCCCCAGGTGAGCTGGGCCAGCCCCACTGCCCCATAGTTCATTAGCAGCCAGGCCCAGGGGGCGCCGGCCAGCAGGGCGGGGGGCACGTCGGGCAGAGGCAGGCAGCGCCGCAGGGTGAGGTACAGGGGGGGCAGCAGGCACAGGGCAGCCAGGGCCCTGCGGGGGGACAGGCAGGGCCGATCCGGGGCCAGCAGCCCCCAGGCCCCCCAGAGCCCCAGGAAACGGACAGCAGCCTCCAGCCAGGTGGCCGGCAGCCCCAGGGGGGCCAGCGAGGGGGCGCCCCAGCCCAGCAGGGCCCGCAGGGCCAGGTCGCAGAGCAGCAGGGGGCAGCCCAGACGCAGGGTGAGGGGCAGCGCCATGGTGGCGACAGGGCCTGCGGAGAGAGAGCAGAGGGGAGCAGTTAATCCAGGGGTTCGTGCACCGACTGACCCCCCCATGTCCCTCAGCCCCCCAATTTCCAGCTTGCCCCCAATTCATCCCCTTCCCTATCCCTATCTGCCCTACTCTCTGCATCCCGATCCACCCCAGTCCCACACCCTGATCTACCCCAGGGCTCCCCACAATCCAGCCCCTAATCTGCACCCCCAAATGCTGACACCCACCCCTGTATTCCCAGCCCTCACCCGCTGCCCCCATCCCAACCTGCCCCCAATCTCCAACCCTGGTCCAGCCCCCCCCCCCCCCAGCCCATGGGGGGTCCCATTGGGGTTAGTGGTGGGTCTCCACAGAGGTGGGCATCCCATAGAGACACTGGGGGGTCTCTCCAGAGCTGGGAGGTCCCATGGGGGCCCTGGGGGACTTTCCCTGGGGCTGGGGGCCCCTGAGTACGCACCAGTCAGGCTGGGACCCGTCCCCGCCTGCACCAGTAACAAACTGGCGGCGCTGGGTGGGGACGCGCCGCCTGCGGAGGGAATCCAGGGGAACTTGGAATAAAACCCAATAAACGCCCCCCCCCCACAACCAACCCCCCCACCCCCCCCCCCCCCCCCCCGCCCCACCCCGCCCCCCCGTGCCCCCGAGCGCCCGCCCCCCCGGCCAATGCACCGGCACCCCCTGGCTGCTCCCCGCTGCCTCCCCCGGGCCCGGCACCTGCAGCTCCGGCTCCGGCTCCGGCTCCTTCTCGCGGGGCGGCAGCGCCCGGACCCCGCCGAGCCCGCCCGGTTTCGCTTTCGGGGGATTCCCGGGCCGGGCCCCGCCCGCTGCTGCTGCCGGCTGCGGCCGCCAGGGGGAGCCCGGGCTGCACCGACCGCCGCCTCTGGGCTGCTCCGGGGGCCGGAGACACGAGATACAGCAACGCCCGGTCCCTGCACCTGTCCCGGCCCCATCCCCGGCCCCTGCACCTGTCCCGGCCCCATCCCCAACCTCATCCCCGGCCCCGTGCACCTGTCCCGGCCCCCGGCCCCCCCCCCAGCCCCGCTCCCTGCACCCAGACACCCTGCACCCAGCTCCGCCCCGCCCCACCCCAGGTACCAGATACAGCAGCCCGGCCTGTGCACCTGTCCCGGCCCCATCCCCATCCCCGGCCCCGTGCACCTGT